CAATGAGAACAAATACTTCTTGGATTCCAATTTTCGTAAACTAGTCCACAAAAATCTACATATATTTGCATAAAAACCCACCGCCTATTGATCACATTTTGTAGTTCCTGCGCCATTACTATATCTAACAGTAATAGAGAAAGGATAACGTAAACAGGAAATGTGTAATCGCGAGCTGAATTTCGAAAATTCGACAACTTTTCGCCAATATGTCCTCCTATGTAAAATCGTAAAGGTTCCAGAAAAACGCTCCATTTTCTCTTGTTGTACAGAATGGAGGAACACGACAGCAAGCATGCGAGAAAATTATGCATTTCGGAATTGCAGGGTAAAGTCTCCTCCGACCGGGAAGAATTATGTCACTGTTGTGTGTAGCGCGCGCAAACCGACGGCATACACGTGAGCGAAATAAAAAATTCGTAGACCGGCATGTTTAAAGCGGGCGTGTCGGCCAGTCATATTCGTGAAGCGTTTACTAACGAACCACAGTTTCACCGAACCCGCACAATATTTGCCATTTAGTTGCGTCCTATCTGTTGCGAATCCGCGAGTAAAATGCCCTCGAAAAAAATCCGTGGCCTTGTGATCCATCGCAAAGATTAAACGCAAAATTGCCTCTTTTCTAAAATTGAGAAAAAATTGGATGGAAGTGTGAAAAATGACCGAGCTTTTCAGGAAATAATGGGATATTGGTAATTGATTATAGCTTTCCAATCGATCGCTTTCGGTTGACAGGCGTAATGACAGAAACTTAATATGATACTGGAAAATATTACTGTAGTAATAACACCATTCATCCAAGTTGATGGAGGGAAAAGTATATTGTATCTGAAGCCTTTAAGTCCGTATATACAGGGTGACCCATTTTAATCTTCTGAGACAAATATCTCGGAAGATATGGAAAGTACAGAAAAATGTTTTAAACGGAAGTTGTAGAATATCGAGGAGGGACAAACCGTATTGGCATTCATTTGACACTGCAATGATCTTGAAAATCCCTGTAAAGATCGCAAAATACCTTTATGTCTTCACTGTAAGAACCCACAGAGCTCATTTTGAACAGTTTGTTAGTTCAACAGTTATGATTTGTTGAAAATACGTTGACACTATATTTCAAACAGCTGTAGAATCAACAATTTTAAAAATGTTAAAAAATCCTTAAAGATACGTTTGTATATGACTACAGATTACAATATGTATATGGAAGTGTCAACAAAATCCGAAATGTTACTCCAAAAAGTGTCCGATTTCGCGTAGAATGATCCATAAATATGATCAAAGGGACGCTTCGGATAAAAATGGACTCCCCTAAAGTCTAAAAGCAGCACCAACCAGGTACGGAAAAATTCTTAGAATCGAGCAAGGTTACTAAACATCCCTTGTTAGTTTAACATGTAGAATCAACCCTATGAAAGCGTCCCACATTTTCATTAACACCCTACATATTATTCGAATAAAACTGTGCCCAACTGTGCTTGAAATAAGCAATAAGACAATTGATTTTACATTGATTTACATTACTATAATTAACCCTTTGCCTTGCCTTAGAACATCGGGGCAGACTCGTGGTGACGAAATCAAAATGGATTCAACAAACAGAAATATTATTCGTTTTCTTTTAGTGAAAGTGAAATACTAATTTGCTGATATTAATATTTAACTTAAGAATTGCTTTTGTTTCTAAGGTTTACTATTACTATTGACGATTAAGTAATTCTAGAGACTGCAAACATCAAGAAAATCATAGGGCAAGGGGTTAATCAAGACATCCAACGATTCCTTCTAGAAAGATCATCGATTGCGTGCGCACGACCAGGGGTTTCATTAGCGTTATTTTCAAGCGAACACGTTCCTGCGAGTCGATTCAATGATCTCCAGGCAACTTTAAAAATATTTTCCAATTGAGCTGGCACAGAGAAAGAAAGAGAGAGGGAGAGCGCGCAACAGAGTAAGCCCTCCACTCGAAAGAGTTTCATAAAACGAAACCCGTAGTTTCTCGATAAGTATGCTGGTCGAGTATACCTTCCACCAACCTCGAAGAGCTTTTTCCGCTCGGGATGAAGCTACGAAGCGGCTTTTGTTAACAAGCCGTCAGTCTTAATCCAGTTCATTCGTTGGCTCAGACTTCTGGGACGTCGGATGTTTCCGGCTGGGTGGTAACGCCACCTTCGATGATCGACAGCGATGTCGGGCTTTATTTAATTTCCACGCTCGCAATCCGCTAGCATATTGCCGGGAACACGCGAAAATATGCCATGAAAAGAATCGATTCCTCGTTATATACCTACTTCGTTGTTGAATTGTTTGCCTCATCCGAGGAAAAAACATCATTTCGTGCTTTTGTTCCCTTTTTTTTCTACATTTCAGGTTTCCATTTGTTTCTCTGTAATCGTGTCAGCCACGTCGTAACGAGACGATGCTTTGAGAATATTGTGTTGTATATGAAATGGGCGAACTAGTAACTGGTATATTTAACGTTATGAATTGAAGTTACTATTATAGTTTCTTTCATCGTTGAAATGTTACACAGGGTACTCTACCCGTTTCGAGGTACAATCTAGTATAATAGTAAAATCAATTATGATAAACACTAAAGTTAAGTAACATAGAAAACTAATCTTACAATTAGTTAAATTCGGTCATTTCCTCCTTGCGTATTAACACGCTAACTGCATCTTTTTGGTATTTTCTAAAAAATCTTTTTTTTTCGTAAAATCAAAAATAGTCCTTTCAAGACTACTTAATACATTGTTTAACATATTTTTTTCTGACTTTATAAGCAATATGTTTACTCGCGATTAATAACGGCATTAGTAGTCACAGTAACACTGTTTTTCTAATGCTTGGATGCCATTTAAAGAAGGTTCGTACTGCCGATCGTGAGGAAATGTTTAAAATAGGTACCGTCACTAAAGTGATAAAGTAAGCGTCTACTGTAGTCAAATGCAGTTAGCGGGTTAAAAGATAGACATTTAAGCCGAATTCATAAATAAGTTTCATGAAGATACAAGTTCTTGCTAAAAAATTCCGTTTAGCGATGGTAACATCAGGCAAAAATATGGCAGGTAAAATTATCTTTGAAGAGTCATCTTCAAATTTAGTATAATAATTATGAAATGAATATACGAAACATGAATGTAAAATGTGTATTTACATGAAAAATGTAATAATAAACCATGATTTGATGTGCAGCAATTTAATAGAAGGACAGAATTAATATGCACATTTTGTGCAAGGAAATCTATCGGGGTCGTGAAATAAATGTGTGAATATTAATGTAAATATTGATGTTTGTGGACTAATATACAGAAACTGGGGTCAAACAGAAATTAGTTTTACTTATTACAGATCAGGTTAATAATCAAATAACATGCTCTTTAAAGTTTTCTAGTCTTTTTACCAGATTGATAATGTTGTTTTTAGGCTATCATGTGTAACGATAAATTCATAAGAGTATTATTTTACCTGAATGTTTATGAAATTGAATACTAGACGTACCAACATGTTTTGAGTGAAATTTTGTAGTAATTTACAGAAAATTCGAATCTCTATATTATCTTAATAATATTTATTTTTTTTTGTCCATTATTTTACGTAATTTTGACTAAACAACAGTATGGTATTTAATTATAGTATATTATTAAATCCATATTGGAGTACACATTGATACATTAGAGATATAAAGTATTCAGTAACATAAAAATGAAATCGTGAGAGAAAAACTCAATATTTTCAGTAATTTTGTCTTTTCACAACAAACAGTAAATAATTTTATTGTTTTAAGAACTTTTACTGCGAATAAAATAGACTTTCGAAGTAGCTGATCGATAAAATAATTATTAGGACGACATAAATAATTTATACTGTACACATTTAATGGTTAAGTTTCGGAAAAGGGCAAGAGCGGACCGAATTGCATTACCGATTCTGAAACTTCTTTGACAGACAAGAGTATATAGTCAAGGAGAAGTTTCCTGTGCACTCAAAAGCATGGGTTTGGAAAAGGGAAACTTTAAGTGTGCTGTTTTATAGCCTGCAGTCTTACGAGTTAGATTTAAGGGAATCAGTTTGTGAAGGATCAGCGAGAGTATGGATTTAGGGAAAGTTAGTTTCGAGTAGAAATGACGAGAAAGATGGAGTTACGTGTGTTGTTCAAGAAAAAAGTGTCGTGGCTGTACTTGTCTTCCAGTTTTCTGTTTAATATTTGCCTGTGATTTTACAGAATATTTCATTATGTGTAAAATAATTTTTAAAAATTTTATAAATATATACATAGATTTTGTGTATTGATATTTACAAGTGACTCTAAATCGAAAGTTTGAAACCACTTGAAGTATTATATCTTTTTATGGAACAAATGTTACTGCCACAAAGGGACTGAATATTTCAATAAGTTTTCTAAGGGTGTAGAACGTAACTATTTAACAATTATTTTATGACTGTATCGTATTACCAAAACAGAACCTTACGTATTTATTATTTAATAATAATATTTGATAACCTAGTTTATTGCCACTAATTCGTGGAAACTATTACCTAAGACAAAGGTCATATATTTTATAATTATCATTACAGTCATTATCACCTCGAATGATTTTCGTATCTTCAATGGAACTTCCTATATATGAATAAATGTAGTTCACAGAAGTGAAACAAAGCTCCTAATTTATATTTCAAATAATTAAAATTCTTGGGAGAAGAAACAAAAAACTACTCAAAACAAAGATTGTACATTGCAGCCACTAGGCTTATTGATACGCTGCATAGCTTCTGGAATGTTTTCAATAAAAACAGGACTAGGTATTATTATCTTACGCACATGCCAATTTATAAAAACTATATCATTCGTTTCGTTTTCTTCGCATAGAACAACAGAACTGTCCACTTATATTTAATACTTACCTTCCAGACTGATTTTTTTACAGATATACTTACGCGTATCAAAACGAACAATGTCTATGTACAACGAACAAATCAATGAATTTTATTTAACAACTCACGTCTGTCGATGAACCGAAAATTCCCGAAAAAGCCGGAGCCAGTCGTATTCGATGGAAGTCCCTGGGTGTGAAGTTCCAAAATAAGCGTAGATCTCGAACTGTACAATATTTGCGGGATGTCACGTAGTTCACCGCAAAGTACACCAGACCATGGAGTGTACTCGGAAACACCGGTGGTCTCCAAATGTAGAAACACTTTTACAAAATCGCCCCCCATGCAACTGGAACATAAATTGGGAGGGAGCTGTTAACACCTTCGTATAAGATTATTCGTAATAATTTCGAATAAAGTTTTTATTGTGATTGTAGCTTAATAACACACTTTTATTTAATTCCTTCTTTCGTAAATTAATGTAGAAAATGTAAGTTTGCGTAAATGTTCACACCTAAGCCTCATAAGTATACTGTTTTGTACGTCACAAATAGTCATATATTTGCAAAAAACAATTTTGTAGGACATCATTTCGTAACATTTTTATACATTGAAAATCATTTTCCATATGAAAAGTAGATTTGTTTTTGCATGATATATCAACCATGCACTTTTCATAAATAATTCAGAATAAACCACGTTCATGCTTGGATAAATAAATTGTAACTGCGGGAAATTGTCCCAAGTTTGACGCAAAGCGGTTATTACACTTTGAATGATTTTTATTAATTCCAACGCATTTCCAGGCGTGACAAAGGTTCGCTGATACAAAACGCAAATATGTAGTTTACGAATAAATGTAAAATTTAACGTGATGTAACGTCCAACCCGACAAATCCCTTTGTAAAACGATGTATTATACATTCGGAAGAGAAAATAACGGCGAAAAGTGCACGGATAGAGATCAAAGCCGAGATGATACCTTGTTTCGCGGCCCCAGGAAATCTTGGAATGCCTAAATGGTGTGATTTACTTTCTCCGCGAATATATCGCAGAACTGTTTCCAGAATAAGGGCAGAAGTATCGAGGGAACTGATCTCTCGTGTTATTCAACCGTTTCTCAGATTTACAAATCTCCAAATCAGTCGTTTTCTAATATAGGAACAGATTACCTTACTTTTATCCGGGAATAATACGATTCCAAATAAGAAAATTACACTTCTGTTCCTTTAATATAGCTAAACTATAAGAACTGAATATAACAGAACTGAATGTAATATTCATTAATTTTGTATGTACAACTTTATATCGAAAATTTAAGGATGTAGTACATATCGTTTATTTGTACTTCACCAATTTATTATTCTATTTTTAATTTCTTATATAACAATAATATTTATTGAAATATTTAGACACACAACAAGAAGTAGTGTTAAAATATACTTACAGAAGTAGGTCTCATATATGTTATTAACTTTTACTTCGAATAATAGTGAAGTAACCATTACAATGTCATAGTCAAGAGAGGAGGCACTTCATAAATTTAATTAGTGTGTAATATTCACAATATTGAAGTAGGTACGGTGAACTACACTTTTGTAACACATATTAAATTCCTTGAATAGTTCCTTCTTTGTACAATTCCAGTCACTGTGTTCATGAGTGAAATAGATAACTTTATTGCTCGTTTATTCAGTAGCTTTTATTATTATTTTGTATTCTGTATTATGTATTTTACTGTTATATGTATTTGTAATTTTGGATGGACAATCCAAATTTACATTGGAAAGTCGTACGACGGACAGTCCGTGATATTGACAAATCACGGACAATCATATCCAACTTGAGAATTAAGGACAAATGTTTATGGAGGTGCTGGTGACAAATTTCTTTATTAGTTTATAACTTTTTTTTGAAGGGTGTACATAGGAAAATTTTAGTTGGACAAATGTGGACAAATCGTGGACAAACGAATACTCTTTGTTTTTCATACAATTTTGCATTTGGAGGTGATGACTTTACAGATCTCGTATTTTGTCGTATATCATGTTTTAAAAAGTTTTTGTGAATATCTTAGAAACTAAAGCCGAGCGGCAGTGACATGTATAGGAAAAAGTTGTTCAGAATTATGACCTTGATAACATATTTCAAGGTCATTGAAAATAGTGTTGTAATAATTACCGTTATCAGTTTTCAGTAATATTTAAGACTTACTATCCTTTAGAATTAACTAACATTAAACTAATTCCAGTATCGTTTGATATGTTGCTACTCTTTCAATGAATTCCATTTTTGGGGAACCGTTCCATCATTGATACGCTTTTTATGCTTTACGCCATCCCGCTGAATGGTATACGAAAGTTTAGAACGTGAAAACGTTGCTGACATTTGTCATTGGCAAAAAACCAATCTGCGATGTACGAGTCGAACTCTGTCATTCATCTGGACTTACAATACGTCAATCACTGGTAACAATGGTAGCAGGACGCAATTTTATAATTCCAAAATTCAAAATTAAACTATACCTTCAAGCTTTTGGTGGAAGATATGAGTAAATTGAGAATGTCAAAATACTATAGAATTTCTAAAATAAAAAACTCAAATCAAAAAAGATATTGAACTGAATAAACATTCAGGACATCCTAAATATTGCCTATTGAGCTCTAATATCCTTTAAATTATATTTATTTAAAACTTCGAATAATTTTGTATTGCTCATAACGTTTACTTGACATTCGATAAGGATCCTAGTACATACGTACGGACGTGAAGGTACACTCCAGCTCATACATATTAAAACACCCACCACGCGAAGAAAATGTAAGATGGCATAAAAACTATATATGTATACGTGTACCTACCATCAAATTTTCTCCTTAACATTATTTTAAGCATAGGATTTTTCATATGAATATATACAACATTTTTCCAAGCCCCTTTATTAATTTATCGGTTTCTATTCGCATTTATTTTTCTATTAGGTAAGTGTCCTAATAATTATGAGCGTTGTTTTTAGGATTCAGAACCTCAAACAGGTACACCAGTTGCATCCAAGAGGCAAATACCGTGATGGAGGACAGGTTAATATCAGCGTACCCGGGCTTTTCGACGCCAACGTACGCGATCTGGCATATCTGAACTCATGGTCCTGTGATACTTGCAGGCTAATTAACTAATTAGTCCTGGCAGGGAAACGGAACAGGTGTTCGTAAGTCCAACTGTACACAGATTAGTCGAGTCATGTGCTTAGGGAGCATTTCCGATCCGGCGTTAAAGCGAGTACAATGTCGAAATTAACACGGATTATGAAGGAACGTTGGAGCTCTCGAAGCCAGTCGTAGTCGCGAAAACTATTTGTTAGCTCGTTAACGATACACAACGATGCATTTGCAGCCGTTAAACGTGTGACTTCTAGAAGACATTCATTAGCCCAGGGTTTATCCCCGGGGCAAGCAACTTAAATCCTTAAACTTCGCGAAATATCAAATTATAATCTGGAATTGTCGCGAGGTAAATTATTTGCCCCCCTCCCCCACCCCTCCCCTCGAATGGTCGCCGCGAATGCGCTAATTACACACCACCCGGCAGCTTTGGTCGAAATTTACCGAGACTTTAATGATCCCGTTACGCAACCTATTCATCAGGACCGTTCGGAAGGTTTCTAATTAATTAGCGGTAGACCTCTCACCATATTCCATTTGTCGTAACCACTTACTGTGAGACCCGCCACGACACTTCACCTTACCGATCGAAGAAAGGCAATTAATTTAAACGGCGCGAGAAAATCTTGGCGCGCACGCACCACGACGCCATATTACTTTGTGACGTTTTTGCTGAAACGAAAACGATTATTTATCTATTTCTGGTTATACTAAATATCTTCTTTATTTCTAATGATACGGGAAATATCTCGAACATAGTATAAATTATTTCAGAAGGAGAGTATCGTACATGGAACATTGTTTTTGTGATCAGTTTTGTCGAATTTTTAGTCGTTATTTTTTCAGTGTTCAAGTTCACCTCTAGGTAAAAAATTAAACATATTTGAATGCACCTTAACTCGGGTTACATGATGCAATTAAAAATCGTGGAAATTCGAAACGAATGATCAAAAAAGAATGTATTGTACTTGAAATATTTCTCATATTTTGCATAATGCAAATTTCTCATAATTTGCGAATAAGCAAAGGACTCAAACGCGTATAATTCAATAATGCAATTTCCGAGCGCTTCAAGTAAGTACCTACAAGTCGAAACTTCAAACTGTTATATCTCATTATGGAAATATCTGACAAAAAAATGTTTCAGACAAAATTTACTTGTTTTTCCTGTAGAATCTAAATATGTAACGTTTTATAGGGGGTTCCATTTAAAATGATAAAGGTACCTCCGCCTCCCTTTAAAAGGGAAGGGGAGCGCCACTTCACGTTTATATAGTTAGAAAGGCCCTTCAGATTTATGCAATTTAAGACGAAGAACTTTAAAATCAATGGCATAGTTTTCGAGATATTGAGCTGTTAAGAGTTATGTGGGCCACCCTGTATATTCCGATTACAAGAACATTCAGATGACAGCAACGCTCTTTTAAAAGGACACATTAAATCGCGTAAAAATACGTCATTTTCACGTTATCACTTAACACATGGCGATCGGATAAAAATGCATCTTCTTGTACAATTTTATTAGATCCTGTTATAATGTTTTTGCGAATACAGTAAATCCTCGATGTGTATTCAAAGGCTTCTCGACACTGAACATTAAATATTTCATAAACTAAAGGCATATGCGACTGAAACAAATATCATTGGCTTCAGAATGTGCTAAACCGCGTCTGCACCGAGTCAGTTAACAATCGATGTTGGTATCGGATGCAAGAGAAGCGACCTTTCGCCGCAGTTTCTTACGTGCAAATCGCCAAAGGTCGAGATGGACAGGTCACCACAGTGTGACGGTATCTCGATGCCGTGGGGTATTCGTGGCCACTCTTGGCCGGTCGGATTTAGTGGCGATATGGACGTTGGGAAGACACAGAGTATTGGACGCTTGAAATTACATGTCCCCTGAGACAATGACATTACTGTACACCGACCGCCGGGAGACGTCGACACGGGCGTATAGAACGAAATTTCGCGTGTAACGTAATTTGCCATGGATCCACAGGCTATTTAACCCTCGATGTACGGTCAAGCTGACGCGAGCTTTCCCTCCAAAGGGTTGCGTTGCATCGACGATAATCTATGAACTGAAGGGTAAGAGGAAAAAAACAGAAAATGACCATTTTCGGGGATTTTACGGTGTATAAGGTATGTTGTTGTTGGTGGCAATTGGGACTAGAGAACTGTTGAATCA